AAAAAAAAAAAAAAAAAGAATTTTATTATGTAAATGCTCAGGCATGACTACGCTATAAGCCATGACATAGACAGATGTTTACCCTTACAATGAATAGTTTTGGGCTTAAAAGTCGATCAGGAGTTTTTGCCTGTATACAGAAAAATGAAATATTAGAGGTATGGGTGACACTAGAATGAAAACCAGCATTAGGGTGAGTCATAACAGATCAGATGCCTCATCTGTCTATGGTAAAGGAAAGGGCGGAATTACCTTAACTGAAATAATAACAGGACGAATTACAAATTGTCTCAGAAGGAACACATGAATTCTATTCTCTCAGACGAGTTGTAGGTCCTACCTAAATGTCCAACAGGACATTAGACAGTCGTACAGGGTGCAGAATAATTCTTCGTTGTGTGGGACTGATCCACACGCTGTAGGACATCTGTGATCTCCGGCTGCATCTATTTAGCGATGGGATGGTCCTCAGTTATCACGAAACCAGTCACGACCCATCACTTTCTAATATACTACTGTGAGAACCACTGATATAGTTCATATCTAGCATCCTTAGATAACTCAATTGTTATTTCCATAGCTGAGATCCTTGCCTCCCAAACCCCCAGTTTTTAAAATGCTTTGTGCCTTGATTTCTTCAAGTATCTATACAATTTGAAGTGGTTTACTTTCTGTATTAGAATGTAAGCACAAGAGCCAGTTTGATCTGTCTTACTTTTTTTGTTACGCCCAACACCCAGGCTAGCTGTGTTCTTCCTACGCTGGTGCCTTGCTAAAGCCTGTGGAATTATTAAGCTTAACTATTTATGTTTTAGTGATCAAGTTGTATTACTTCCTGGTTTGCTTAATTTGAGACTAGTCAATTAAAAAAAAAAAACTAATTCTGTTCTGTTGCCTTTATTTGCTGTATTTGTCAGTAACTCCAGCAAGATAATCAACTGCAGATTCCAGTTTATTCAAAGGGGAGAAGAGGCAATGAGTTTTATCACTTGTTAAGGTTTAGATCAAGGATGACCCCCAACACTCTCTTGTGCTCAGAGGCAGGGTGTTTGGAAGGTGACTGGGTCATGGGGGTACTATAGCTGACTTGCTGTTAGGAGGACAGGTCTGGTTAGAGCTGGGTCACTGGGGTTGTAACCTAGAGGAGTATATCTCTTTGGCTTCTCCTATCTCTGCTTCCTGGCCATCATGACATAAGCAGCTTTCCTCTGCCCATGCTGTTCCACCATAGTCTTTCTGCATTTGAGCCTGCTAACCATGGACTGAAACCTCTGAAACTGTAAGCCACATAGCCATCTCCTCCTTTATGTTGTGAGTGTTGGGTATCGTGTATCAGCCACTAGGAAAGTGACTAAGACATCATTGCAGGATTTGATGAGCAAGGAGCAATAGTCTTTAGCCCACTGAAGAGATGATGGAGAAGCCTACAGTTGGCTGGTGCATATTTGAAGGCTGCCAGCTGCTCACATGCCCCCCGCTTCTGTGCCAGGGTTGGCAACAGGGCTATACTTTTTTTCTTTTTTTGGTACCAGGGATCAAACTCGGGACCTTCGCTTGCGAAGGGCCACACTTTAACAAAAGTTAAAAGCATAAATGGTTATCAGCAGAATTATCCAATCAGCCAGGTCTCTACATATTCTTTTTATTTTTTTTATTTTTTTGGTACTGGGACACACATTCTTTTTAAATCACAGAGCTTTGAATGGAGAAAGCATGGGGGGGGCAACAGATACGGCAGTATGGATTTGATAAAGTGAAGGTAAAACTATCGTTTGATTTGGACCACAGTATAAAGTAAGACGCAGCAAACCAATTTCTGTCCGAACACCTGCATTCAAATACACAAAAATGCACCAAATCATGCATGAGCAGATATTTGAGGGCCTTGATAAATTATTTTTCTATGTACATGCTTGTTTTGATTTTTCATCACACCAGGTTTCCAGTAAAATCTACCATTATCTGGTTTCTGGTAGAAGGAAGCAAAGCTAAATAGCTACTGCTTCCTGTCCCCACTTAGATACTGTAAAGATAACCACCATGAAAGGCAGTGGATGCCAAGTGGGAGGAGTGTGTGCAGGGCCACTGGGGCTATGACAGAGGACTTACCTGGCTTTAAAAGAGCAGGGATATAGCGGGCAGATTTTGTTTAGAAGATTAAGGATAGATGGGATGAATTTATAAGTAATACCAGTGTAAGTTCCCGGTGTGATTTATTCAAAGTCTGTGCTACAGAAGTAGGCCTGAGCAGGAGCAGGAGCTTCAGAACTGGAGCAGCAGGGGAATTTTTAAGGAACTGCTTAAACCCTAAAGCTTTAATCCTAAAATGCCACCTCCAATCTCGACCTGCTTCTCTTTTCCTTTCCCTTGTGAACCTGACTGGCCTCCACTTTTTTCCCCCCAAACTCCAAATTCCCCAGTAGTCTGTTCTGGGATCTTTTTTTTTTTTTTGGTACCAGGGATCGAACTCAGGACCTTGTGCTTGCGATGCAGGTGGCAGAACCACTGAGCTAAATCCCCGGCCCCGGATCTTTTCTTTTTCCCTCCTCTGCAAGTTTCCTCATGAATGAGCTAATTGATCCCAGACTTCAGCTGTCAGACATGCAATAGTTTGCATCAGAGATGTTCCCTAATGGCCATGTTGAATTAAGGCTTGGTCCTCAGCTTGGCACTCCTGCACCTGACATTCACTTTTCTCTAACCTTTTTCTCTGTCTGTCTCTTAGGCTGGGTTCTGTCAGAAGCAAACAGTTTATTTGGAAGATGAATCCAAAACACTGGTAGGGAACAAGGAGGACAGTCACGGAAAGGAGTAAGACAGCACAGGAAGAGCTAATCAGCAAGTTGTGGGCATGGGCAACTGGGACTCAATCCCACTGAGGAACTTCTGGAAAGCATGGACTCCAACTTCCTGGTTGTTTCATGAAGGAATAATAAGCTGGACTATTTATCCACTCCTGAGGAGGAAACTTCTTGTATCTTCTTAGGTTCAGTAGGTGTGTGTGTAAATTTAACTGATATTAAGAGGGAAAAAAACAAAACCAGTTTATTCGTGTCCTTATGGAGCACACAGCAGTGACTCCCCCAAACAGCTGAAGATGAAGATTTATGTATAGCTTAGTTGGGGGAGAAAGAAGGGGTAGAATGGCTTCTATGGGAAGAACAAATGGCTTTCTAGGGGAACAAAGGAGAGGTGAAGTCAGAGATAGTGCTTGTTTATGCAGACTCAGGGGTATCTTCTCCCTTTTTTCCCTTCACTGCTATAAAACTGCCCACACAGGAGACCCATGTAGCCTCATTCCCAGAAGCTTCTGCTTTTAGTACGATAAGGAAATGGTTTCTTTCTGCAACCGTTGAATCTCAAATGTCTTTAGTTTAAAATAATCTTATGCCAACCCCAGCCATCCAAGTGGACTGCCACACTACCAATTCCCTAATGTCATTGGCTGAGGTAGGGTCTCCTTGGGAGTCTCAGCTTCTCCCTATTGCTGGCAAGCTGGCTCTTTCTGCTGGAAAAGACCACGGCAGAGAGTCTGGGTAAAATGCCGAGTGCCAAAGGGACACTGGCCATTGCCACTTTCCTTCTGATTCTTCTCTTCCACCTCCTCCTTCATTTTCTCCAGGATTCTATCTCCCACCTTCTCTTACTTCATTTTTGCAGGGTGATCTATCAGTTTTCACAGCTTTAATGACCTAATCCTCTGATTAGGACCTGTGTCAAATCTGTGGCCCTTCCTTTCTCATCTCCCTTAAAGTCTAGGCTGGTATATGAAATGCAACCGTGTACTAAGCACCCTTCATGGATTGTCTACTCCAGACACAGCACAGTAAAAACTGGGCTTCTAGTCCTTCAAAGCCTGCTTCATTTCTGTTATTCCCTATCTTGGTCTTGCTTTCTAGAAACCCATTCTCTTATTGCTGCCAGGGGTCTCTGTAAACTATCTTGCCAGGGTTTATAGCTCAGTGGTACAGCACTTGTCTAGCATGCACAAGGCCTTGGGTCTGATTCTTAGCACCATGAAATAAATTAGCCAAAAAAACACACTGGTCACAGTATGGCCAAACACTTTTTTTATTTTTTTAAAGAGTTTGTGATTTTTTAAAAAAAAATGTACTTTGATTACATGTTTGCAGTAGTGATTACATTCATCATGAAGAATTGGTACATGTACATAATGAATCTTAATTCTTTTTACATCTCCTTTATCCTCCATCCCTCCTTCTCTTAGTCCCCTTCCCATCTGCAAAAGATCCATCTCCTTATCAGACACTTTTTTAGATGGTGGGGATACAGTGATGGCCCAGACTAAGCAGATTCCTGCTTTCATGAACCTGAATGCTACAAACATCACAGACCTCTTCCAAGCGGAGGTGGGGAACCTACCTCCAGGGAAGTCAGAAAGCCTTGCTGAGAACACACTGAGCCCAGAACTGAATGACACAAAGGAGAACTCTGTGTACACACCAGGCAGAGCACATGCCACTCGTCAGCTGAAGAGCCTTCTTCAGTGACTTCCCAAAGTCCACGGATACACATCCATGTTTCTTAGCCTGTCAGTCTTCCAGCATCTGAGCAGCTGCCTTCTCTCTAGCTTCATTTTTTTTTTTTTTTTTTTTTCCTTTCTGGAAATCAGGGTGTCCTGCTCCCCAGGATCTTTCAGTTCTATTTCATTTTTTTTTTTTTTTTTTTGGTACCGGGGATCGAACTTGGGTCCTTGCACTTGTGAGGCAGGCACCTGAACCACTGAGCTAAATCCCTGGCCCCTCTCTAGCTTCTTTACAGGACTGGATACTGAGTCATTCAGTACTCAGGAGCACCTTGTGAGATACCAGCAAGGCTGGCTTTGGCCCCCCAGACCTTATCCATCTTTGTAGTCTGTCATTAAACGAAGATGCTGTGGCCGGTGTGGTGGTGCATGTCTGCACTTGGGAGGATGAGGTGGGAGGATCGCTGTTACTTTGATACCAGACTGAGTTCAAGGCCAACCCAAAGTACATAGCAAGACCCTGTCTCAAAAAACAAAAACAAAACAAAACAAGCATGCTGTTGGGCACAAATGACATATATGCTTAGCACATGTACACGTCAACATGTATAATTCACATGTTCTGGGCTGGGGATGCAGCTCAGTGGTGGAGAGCTTGCACGAGGCCCGGTTTCCACCTCTAGTATCACAAAATACAACAAAATAAAATTGTCTTATTGTTACACACACACAAAAATAGATGAGGGCCAGGGATATAGCTCAGGGGGCGCCATGCCTGCCTTGCAAGTACAAGGTCCTGGATTCGATCTCTAGTACCGAAAAAAAAAAAAAGATGAAATTGTCCTAACTATTCAACCAAATATATATCCCCAATAGTGTCCAAGTGATTCACATACAATTGCTGAGATTTTTTTTTTTTTAATTAACCTAACAAATCCAGTGTGCGTGTTTCCCATTTACACCACATCTGAATTGGGACCGACCACGGCTGGAAAGCTCGCAGTGACCACACGTGGTCTGTGGCCACCCTGCTAATGACCATCTCCCGCCAGCCACCTAAAGGTCCCGTGCCACCTTGCCCGACTCATCTTCTTCGCAGACTTCGCAGTGCCACCGACGACCTCAGTTGCTTCGCTGTCTTCTGAGACTCCGGCTCTACGCAGTCCTCAGGGTGAGCACTCATCTCGCTGCACCTCGCCCCGCCCCGCGCGGTCGCGCACAAAGCTGTCCCGGCTCGGACCCGTGTTCAGGCGGCCCGTCGCTCCCGCCCCGCCGGCCTGGCCCTGCCCACCCCGGGCGCTGGCGGCGGGGCGCGGACGTGGCGGGGCGGAGCCTCCTGCGGCCGGGCCATGGCGGAGTCCACGGTCTGCTCGTTCCTCACCAAGGTGCTGTGCGCGCACGGCGGCCGCATGCTGCTGCAGGACCTGCGCGGCCACGTGGAGCTGTCGCCGGCGCGGCTCGGGGACTTGCTGCAGCGCGCCGGGCCCGAGCGCTTCCTGCTGCAGGACGTGGAGGTCGAGGCAGGCGGCGCCCGGGCCTGCAGGGTGGTGGCCGTGTCCTCCGCGCGCCTGTGCGCCCGCTACCAGCGCGGCGAGTGCCAGGCCTGCGACCAGCTGCACTTCTGCCGCCGGCACATACTGGGCAAGTGCCCGCACCGGGACTGCTGGTGAGGGGCGCGGGACGCGGGGCGCCAGGGGGCGGCCACCAGGAGGGACAGGCTGGAAGGGGCCTCAGGCTGCCACCGAGGCTCCCCCTGCATATGCATATGGTCTATACATATTTTTTGAGACCGGTCTCTCTGTGTAGCCTAGGCTGCCCTCGAACCTGCCTCGGCCTCCCGAGGGCTCGGATTGCAGGCGTGTGCCTTCACGCCCAGCCAATCCACTGAGGTTTCTTAATAACCCCCTCACCCCACGAAAATTGCTATCCCTGTCCCGGAGTTTCCAGGCCACCGGGTTAAATCTGTGACTTCTGAGTTCACATATTCAGAGTACTCCTCGAAGGAACATCTGAGGATCTTGAGAGTTTCATGGACCTTTGGAACCCCGGAGTTTTACAGGAGAGGCTATATACTGTGTCTGATCCTAGGAAACCAGGGCCTGGGTCAGGGGGAACAAGGTGCTGTGGTGATGCCAGAGGCGCCTTGGGGCCCACTGTGCTGCCCACCCTGGGGCCTGGGTCAGGGCAGGTGACGGGGAGGGGTGTGTGACTGGGTGTGGGGGGACGCTTAGCTTTAGAGCGTGGAACATGGAAGTGACCCTGGGAAAGGAGCTGCTTCAGTCCAGCTTTCTGATTACCTACCAGCTTTCTGATTACCTATCGTTCACCTTCTCAAGTCAGCGGAGAGCGGGCCCCTCCCTGGCCGGCTTCTGGTACGGAGCTTTGTGTTCTTCTAGGTCCACCTGCGCCCTTTCCCACGATATCCACACCCCGGTCAACATCCAAGTTCTGAAAAACCACGGGCTTTTTGGCCTCAACGAAGCCCAGCTCCGGGTTCTGCTTTTGCAGAACGACCCCTGCCTTTTACCTGAGGTGAGTCGCCAAGAAGCCACTCTCCTATCTGCTTTTGTTGCAAGTATTTTCTTCATTTACTTTGTGGCTTTCGATCTTAAATGTAACTGCTTTGAAACAATATGACTTAGTGTTAGATATTTTTAAAAATACTCAGTATAGGGACGGGGATTTAGCTCAGTGGTTCCGCCGCCTTCTGTGCAAGCGCAAGGACCCGAGTTCGATCCCCGGTACCAAAAAAAAAAAAACCAAAAAAAAAGAAAAATACTCAGTATGATTACTATGATGGGAAAATTAGCACGTTTCTTTCTGCTTAGGCGTCCTCAAAGAATTTTTTAAGCAAAATAGTAAGAATCTCAAGAGATATTATGAGACTACCAATTAAAAGTGGCATTTTCTAATCTAGCACCATGATTTTATTATAGACATTCCCAGGTTGCCAGAAGAGGGGTGGGGGGAGGGAGGATAGAGATGAGACTCCCGTTCAAAGGTGTGGCAGGGTTCAAAAGGGAAGGAAGTCATAAGATTGGAGATGTGACTCTCACCTTGGTGCTAATGGCAGAGGCCACTCTGGTGGCAGCAGAATCTTGGGAGCCAAGCCAGGAAGTCTCTTCTTGACACCTTCCTTGGTAAATTTCTTCTAGCTTTGCAGCCAGGTTTGGCTGGGAGGTCATGGCTGGGAGCCCCATGTATTCCAGCGTGTTGTGGAGAGTACATCCAAGCAGCAGCTGCACCAGGTTATTAGCAGGAAGAGTCAGGAGGGTGGCAGCCACCACAAGGCTGGGGCAGGCTATTTGCCTTTTAATTTCATGATATTTCTAGATTTACAGAATTGTAACAGTTTTATATTTTCAAACCCATTGCATCATTTTCTTTGTGGCTTCAACTCAAGTATTCTGGGTCCAGACTTTCTATTGAGCTTCTCCAGGGTTCTGTGAGCCCTTACAATAGGAGCCCAGTGCTGGCTCCATCAGTTGGGCCTCTGTGGTTGTGTGGCACAAATCGTAGCCACTTAGATACCAAGGACTTAGACTCTTTTTTGAAAGGGCTTGATGATTCCTTTCACCGTTTCCCTAAAGAACAGTACACTAAAAAAAGACGATAAGGGACAATATATAGAATATTATACTGGCACATTTGAAAACCTAGATGACATGGACACGATTCTAGAAATTACAGCTCATTAAAACTGATTCAAGAAGACAGTATGGAGACACCTCAAAAATCTAGGATTAGAGGTCCCATTTGACCCAGCTATTCCCCTGCTGGGTATCTTCCCAAAAGAATTGAAAGAATCATACCATAGTGATATATCTGTACCCATGTTCATAACAGCACAGTCTGTAATAGCTAAAACTTGGAAGCAGCCCAAGTGCCCATCAACTGGAGACTGGATAAAGAAGATGTGGTTTTTTTAATAAAATGGAGTACTACTCAGCCATAAAGAATGAGAAACTAGAGACATTTATAGCTAAATGGGTACACAGTGAGGCAATACTCTTAAGTGAAATAAATAGGACACACAAGTGTAAATACTGAATAGTTTCTCTGGTGTGAAAGTGTAAATGAGGATCAAAATGTATAATAGATAATGTGAAATAGGAAGAAAAGGTCCAAAGGGAAAGTGGGAGGGGTAAGGGAAAGGAAAGAAGAGAAAGGAAAAAATATGAGAACAGGAAAAAAACGGAAACAGTCTTTGTAAATAGGAAGGGATGGAGGGGTTGAAGGGAGGGCAGGGGAATGGGGAAAAAAAATAACCAAGATACATCATGTAAAGGTACAAATTCCCAATGATGAATGTCATCATATTGTATATCTAAAATGTACCAATAAACTTAATGAATTTTTAAAAAAGAAGAAATAGCCAGAATAGTTATGAATACTTTAAAAAATAACAGTATCAAATAAATGCATCCCAAAGCATTTGTCTCAATACTTTCAAAAGAAAGTATCAAGTTGGCTGGATGAGATGGTGCACACCTGTAATCCCAGCCCTGGGAGACAGAGGCAGGAGGATTGCCAAGTTCCAGCCCAGCAATTTAGTGACTTAGCAAGACTTTGTCTTCAAAAATAAAAAAAAAGAAGGGGTGGGGATGCATCTCAGCATGAAGGCCCTGGGTTCAGTTCACAGCACAGAACAACAACAAAATAACAAAAACCCATCATGCTTATATGATTTTATCATCGAGTACTATCAAATATTTTTTCTTTATTGAAGGATAATTGACAAATAAGAATTGTTTGTTTATGGTGGACAATGTGATGTTTTGATACATGTTTATATCATACTCATATTTCCATCACCTCATTGGTATTTCTTTTTTTGAGTAATGAAGACATTTAATATCTATGTTAGTGTTCAAATACAGTATATAGTATGTTTTAATTAACTGTACTCATCGTACTGTACATTAAGTCTCCTGAACTGATCCATCCTAACTGAAACTTTGTACCCTTTAACCTACATCTCCCTCTTCCTCCCTCGAGTTCTAAGAGATCTCTAAGGAATAGATTATTATCATTTTGCTAGGTTTAGGACCTATTCTCCTTGATCTTCTGTATATCAGCACTCACAGACAGACACGCACACACATACCAGGGATCAAAGTCAGTACTTTGCCCTTGACAGACAGGTGCAGTGCCACTAAGCTACATCCCCAGCCCCTTCTGTATATTCTTGAATGAATCTGCTACTTAATGAAAATAGTTTATATTTTACTATGTAAGTCCCTATGCCCATTTCTCTTCATTTTCTGTTTGCTTAATCTGTTGTTTTCTTTTTCAGATAAGCTCTAGCTCACTTAAATTCCTAAAACTACTTCATAGAAGGGTTGAAATTACATTAAAATTAAGAGTTTGTTTTGGAAAATTGGCACCACAATTATAGATGGAATGTGATTTGGTTTTAAAGGAGGTTATCTTTGTTCTGTGAAATTGCCAACATTTTAGATTTCACCAACTGCATTCTTGTTTCATTTAATACTTGTCACATATGACATAGTTGTCATATCATTTAACACTGCTACCACCTGAATATTTCATTAGATGATCTAGAGGCTTTGCCTGATTTTATAGCAATCATTTTTTTAGAATAGTTTTTTTTTTTTTTGGTACCGGGGATCGAACTCGGGTTCTTGAGCTTGCAAGGCAGGTGGCAGAACCACTGAGCTAAATCCCCAGCCCTATAGCAATAATTTTTTTTAAGGTGGTGCATTGTTAGGGTGACTAAACATCCCCATTTGCCTGGGACTGAGAGACTTTTGGGAATGTCAGATTTTTATGGCAAAACCTAGACAATTGCCATTTCCTGTTGTATCACATCAGGAGACATAGCTCTCTCTCGCCATCTTTTTTTTTTTGGTAGATGGGAAGCAGAGATTGAATTTTATTTTTCCAAGATGCTTTATAATTTTAAAGTCATGTATGTGTGTGAGTGTATAGATAGGTAGATAAGATAGATGGATAGATATTTTTGTGGTGGTGGTGGTACTGGGTATTGAACCCAGGTCCTTCACATTCAGCTACATACTCAGCCTTTTTATGTTTTCATTTTCATTTTATTTTTTTACTAGTATATTTTTGCCGTATGTAATGATCACATTCATCATGGGGAGTTTATATGTGTACATGGTATATCTGAATTCTTTTTTCCCCATTCCCCACCCCTCCCTTCAGCCTTTCTTTTTCTCCCCATTTACAAAAGCTGTTTTTGGGCCGGGGATTTAGCTCAGTGGTGCCGCTGCCTGCCTCGAAAGCGCAAGGTCCTGAGTTGGATCCTTGGTATCAAAAAATAAGCTCTGTTTTCCATTTTTTCTTTCCATTCTGTCTTTAAAAAACCTTTTTTCCTTACTTCTCTTCCCCCTCTCCCATCCCTTGGTCCCCTTTCCAATTGAACAGGTTCTTCCTGCTTCCTAACATCTGTTCCGTTTAGACTTTGGGTTTCTCATACAAGACACCATCTTTCTGGGGAGTGAGGTTGTTTCGAGAGGACAGCCTGCTGTGTCATTATGAAGTCCCCTGTGCAGATGTCCTTGGCATGCCTGGCGCAGACCAGTTCATGGTAGCTGTTCCTCATGACCCTTGCCTAGATCAGAAGTGATTTGTTAGTGCTCCCTGTGGAGGTTGCTTTAATTGGAGGTAAAGCCTGAGGTGAGGGTTAGGTTTATGTGATTCACTGAGGGAAGGCTCTTCAGAGAAACCTGGCAGGGAGAGAGAGAAGCAGGATATAGGGAAGGAAAGTCTACAAGGAAGGTAAAGTCTGGCCTTGAGTTGGCTGTGGGGTAAAAACTGCACTCAAGAACTGCTGGAGCCTAAGGCAGGGGCCAGCCTTTTGTGCATCCACAAAAGTCCTTCATTGGCTTTAGGGAGGAGAGCAGGTCGCCTTAGGGGCTAAGGCCCCAGAGGGGCAGCTGTGAATTGTTAGCAGCCAGTGCCACAGCAGCTGAAGTGATGGAGATGGGAGCCGTTAGTACTCTGCATTAGCCATTAGCCTTTCTCCCCAAGATTTTAACAGCCATCGGTGATCAGAAGATACCATTTACATTAGGGAAATGCAAATCAAGATCACCTTGAGGTATCTCCTCAGCCTGATTAGAATGGCTATTGTCAAAAAATAACAAATGCCCTTGAAGGTTCAAAGAAAGAGGAACTCCCATATGTAGTTGGTGGGAGTGCAAATTAGTATAACCCTTATGGAAAACAGTATGGCAATTTCTCAAAAAGAACAAACAAACAAAAACTACTGTATGGCCCAGCAATCCTATTATTGGGTGTATATAAAGAAACTAAAGTTAGTGTGTCAAAGAGACACCTCCACCCACATGTGTACTGCAGCTTTATTCACAATAGCCAGTATACGGAGTTGACCTAGGTGTGCACTGATGGATGAATGGAAAAGAAAATGCACTATATTTACACAGAAGAACATTATTCAGCTATAAAAAAGAATAACCTGTCATTTGCAGCAGGATGTCTAGAACTGGAGGACATTACGTTGAGCAAGTCAGACCCAGAAAGACAAAACACCGCATGTTCTCTCTTCTATGTGTGAGCTAAAGTTCATCTAAAGAAGGAGAGAATAGGAGTTTACAGTGGACAGTGCGATGTCCCAGAGCCTGGGACTGGTAGAGGAGAGGGAGACGGAGAGAGGCTGGTTACTGTTCAGGGATGCAAGGAACGCAGTTGGCTGTGAAGGCTCACTGCCGATGTTCTGTAGCGCAGTAGGGCAGCTGTGCTGGACAACAACTAATTAAATGTTTCAAAATAGCTAAGAAGATTTTGAATGTCCCTGACATAAGAAATTACTAGGGTGTACTAGGTATGATCGAAATACATGATGGACATTTAAATTTTATTTTATTTATTTATTTTTTGGTATTGGGGATCGAACTCGGGACCTTGTGCTTGTGAGGCAGGCGCCGGAACCACTGAGCTAAATCCCCGGCCCTTGGACATTTAAATTTTAAAAGAAATTTCTTACAGTAAGAGATATATTGTCATTGATTCAGGTATTCCCCTTTACTTCTAATGTTGTGCCCAGATTGCAAAGTCCCAAAGACCACCAGGAGGCCGTTTCCGATGTAAGCACACGAGGGTCGTTTATTCAAGCTTAAGCAGGGACTCTCAGTTGTCACCGACACAGCGGATCTAGATTGAGAGCCCCGAGTTCCAAATTAGCAGGGTTTTTATTGAGATTACAGCAAGCTTCGGTCATTAGCAGCCATATGATTGGTTAACATTTAGCAAGTATGAAGTGTAGAATTTTGATTGGCTAGGCTCATTGGGGGTTGAAGGGGATTATGTATAGGTTTTTACAAGAAAAATGGGGACAAAGGTTAGTGGTCTACTGTCACGTACTGATGGTCAGCAGACATCTTGACTCATGGTCATGACCACCTTGTGTGGACAGTCAGCACATTAACAGATTGTCCTATAGATAGTGGGCCCGGGACATTTGTTTCTAGGGCAAACAGATGGCTGAGTCATGAGCTTAGGAATCTTGAGTTACAGATCATGTCTTTTGTCCCAGATTAAGCACATTTAATCATTAATTTGAAAGAACAAAGGAGACTGCTCCATTTTGGACAAAATGGAGTCATTCTGGTCTCACACTAACACTTATTTCATCGTCCTTGTTCCCTTTCTCTCTCCCTCTATCCTCTATCCCCTCCCTCCCTCCTTCCCTCCTTCCCTCTCTCTTTTTCTCTCTTTCTTTGATTTATTGGGACACAGCCTTTTTATGTAGTTCAGGCTGACCTTCAAGTCACTATGTAGCCCAGGCTGGCCTTGAGCTCATGCAAATCCTCCTGCCTCAGCTTCTCAAGTCCTGGGATTACAAGTGTGCACCACTGCACCCCACTCATCACTTTTTAAACCAGTTCTGAAAGTCCTCTTGACTGAGTGTCTTTAGCAGGTATGATAAAAAAAAATACAGTGAATGCTGCTGCTGAGTGCCATTCAGCAGAAAGTAGAATCATAAAAACATTACAGTGGGTCCTCATATACCTTATTCACCAGATCTATCACCATGAGACTTCCGGCTCTCCTCCAGTCAAATGATCATAAAAAGTAAACGTTTTGGGGCTGGGAATTTAGCCTGCCTCGCAAGTGCAAGGTCCTGAGTTCGATCCCCAGTACCAGAGGGGAAAAAAAAGTAAACGTTTTGAATTGATTCAAGGCAGCCAAGAGAGCACAATTAAAGATATATGAAAGAGTACTTCCAGAACTGTTTCAAAAATTGGCAAGAATCATGGGATAAGTTTGTTTGAAGGAAGGGGGAATATTTTCAAGGGAATTAATGGCAATGTGTCTTTTTTCTGTAACTTCATTATCAAACACACAAAACAAAAATTAAAACCATTCAAAGAAGAACAATGCAAGGGGAAAAAAACTACAATAATATTCAAATACAGTGGAACTCAACCAATACAAAACTGAAAAGCACTTAAATATTTTTCTGTATAAGTTAAAAAAGCATCTCAAGCACCAACAAGACACCAGAGGATGTGATTTGTTTCAGAGAGGTCCCCAAAACCAACATTGAACAAATAGTGGTCTGGAAAAAAACTCCAGTTAGTTAGCAGACTCCATATAAGCCAAACTTCTCCCTAATTTAAATTTCGATACAGTCATATGACACGCGATGGAAACACAATCTGAGAAATATGTTATCAGGCCATTTCACCTGTGTGTATCCTTAATTACACTTTCAGTTTCTCACACTAGAGAAACTATTCTGTATTTACACCTGTGTGTCCTATTTATTTCACTTAAGAGGATGGCCTCAGTATGCATCCATTTAGCTATAGATGTCTCTAGTTGCTGGTTCTTTATGGCTGAGTAGTACTTCATTTTATAAAAAAAACCATGTCTTCTTTATCCAGTTTCCAGTTGATGGGCACTTGAGCTGTTTCGAAGCTTTAGCTATTACGAACTGTGCCACTGTAAACATGGGTGCACATATATCACTCGTATGATTCTTTTAATTCTTTTGGGAAGATACCCAGCAGGGGGATAGCTGGGTCAAATGGGACCTCTAAGCCTAATTCTTTGAGGTATCTCCATACTGATTTCCACAG